ATCTATCCACATCTACATTTGCTTTTACATAAAGGTCTCTTAAGAAGTAGCAGATTAATATCTTCCTCTGCTCAAAAGCCTGAAAGTGTTCTTCACGTCATCTCAATTAAGAGCCAGAGACTTTACAACGTCATCTCAATTAAAAGCCAGAGACTTTACAACGTCATCTCAATTAAAAGCCAGCTAGTTTACAATAGAACGGTTTCATTGTTGAATAGGTGCCATTGAATAGGTTCCAACCCATAGTGACCCTGTATAGAACAGAATAAAACACTGCCCTGTCCTCACAATTGGTCCTTATGCTTGAGCCCTGTGCTGCAGCCACTGTGTCAATCAATCCATCTCGTTAAGGGCCTTCCTCTTTTTCACTGAACCCTCTACTTTACCAAGCATAATGTCCTTCTACAGCAGTGGTTCTCAACCTGTGGGTCGCGACCCCTTTGGGGGTTGAACGACCCTTTCACAAGGGTCGCCTAAAACCATCAGAAAGCACATATTAATGATGGTCTTAGGAACTGAGACACCGCTCCTCTGTCTGTCTCCAGGTGGGTCCGCCCACACGCAGATACGCCCACATAGGAGTAACCCTGTGTGAAGACTGGGTACACCGTGCTTCAAGACAAAATTTCATTTCTTTGTAATTAGAAATAAATATTTCACAATATATAATTACATATTGTTTTTGTGATTAATCTCTATGCTTTAATTATGTTCCATTTGTAACAATGAAAATACATCCTGCATATCAGATATTTTCATTATGATTCATAACAGTAGCAAAATTACAGTTATGAAGTAGCAACAAAAGTGATTTTATGGTTGGGGGTCACCACAACCTGTGGAACTGTATTATAGGGTCGCAGCATGAGGAAGATCGAGAACCGCTGTGCTACAGGGACTGATCTCACCTGACAGCATGTCCAAAGTATGTAAAGTGAAGCCTTGGTATCCTTGCCTCTAGGAGCACTCTGGAGGTATTTCTTCCAAGACATACCGTGTCTCCTGAAAATAAGACACACCCATACAATAAGCCGTAGCAGGATTTCTAAGCATTTGTGCAATATAAGCCAGACCCTGAAAATAAGACTTAGTGATAGGCGTGGCTCTGCAGTGTACCAATGCAGAGCGTCACCCTTCTCATCTGCCCTATCGTGACAGCTGCTGTCTCTGTCTCGGAGGTGACAGGACAGGTGCGGACAGCCCCATCCACAAGGTCAGCTCCCCCTGGCAGGTCCCAGTCGTTCTGTGCGTGCTGCAAGCTGGGGCACAGAGGGAGACATGGACAGGGAGAGTCAAAGTCTCCTCAGTGCAGTGAGGAGCAGGACACTGTGCTTTACGTGTTGTGTGTCCTTAGGGGGCAGAAGTAAGGCTGTGGCTGCCTTTTGACTCAGGACTGTAAGTCGATGTTCCGGAAAAAGACTTAACTATATTTGAGTAAATGTAGATTGTTGTACTGTACTTAATAAGACATCCCCTGAAAATAAGCCATCATGTGTCTTCTTGAGTAAAAATAAATATAAGACAGTGTCTTATTTTCGGGGAAACACATTATCAGTTTGCCCTTCTAGCAGTCCATGGTACTGTCAATATTCTTTACCACAATTCAAATGTATCACTTCTTCTTTAGTTTTCTTATTTATTTATATGTTCAGTATTAGAACATGATATTTACATCTACTCCAATAACCAAAAACTTCTACTGCTGCTTGCTCACATCTTATTCTACTCCATTCATAATGATACTTGCCTCTACCTACAACATGCAAGGCAGCCTACTACTTTCTGGCCTGTTTCCACTTCTTTCAGCTATCCCTTTGAAGGGCTCTTCACATCCTTCTCGTTGATTCCCTCTCATGGTGACCCCATGCCATTTTAGAGAGACATTTTTAATAGCAATGTTTTTTGGGAACAGACTGACAAGTCTTTCTTTCGTTGAATAAAATAAGCCCAGTAATGATACAAGGACAGAAACAATAAAGGCTACAATGTAGATAAGTACAGACTAGAAGAAAAAAATCCTTCTTTATAAATATAAATAAAACTGACAAATTCTTAGTTAAATTGACTTAACAAAGAGAGCAGATGCAAATAAATAACATCTACAAAGAATGTGGTGACATTATGATTTGTGATGCAGAGCTAAGAAAAGATTAGAAGCTAACAACACAATGAACAATTTCACAGAAACAAATTAGACAGTCTAGAGGAACAGGAAAATTCCTAGAAACACACGGATAAGCTAAATTGATGCAAGAAGGCATAAAACATTTCAAGAAAACTAAAACAAATAAGTAGATTGAATCACTATTTAACATTAAGCAACAATGAAAACATCACGGCTGGATGACTATACTGCTGAATTCTACCAAACAAGGAACAATTTATATCCCTCCTTAAACTCCTATGAAAAGGGAAGAGGAAGTACTTCCAGCTCATTCTATGAGGTGAACATCACTCTGACACTAAGAAGAGACACAGACATGATCAGGGAAAGAAAAATCTCCTCAGTGAGTGTAGATGCCCAAGTACTGAACACAATACTGAAAAAGGAAGCCCAAGAGCATTAAAAATTATGCGTTGTGACCAAGTGAGGTTTAATCCCCCAAAGCAGGGGTCGTCAAACAGAAAGTCAGTGTAAAACCCCATCAATGAATAAAAAATCGATAAAATGAAGGGGAAAGGAACACATGCGATTATTCCAACTGAGTGTATCCCTGCTGTGGGGCAGTAAACCTCCCTAGGTCATAACGCATAATTTTTAAGTATGCTCTTGTGTTTGCTTTTTCAGTATTGTGTTCAGTTCTTATGCATGTAAATAACCCCTCCAGGCGGGGTGTCTCCCGAGATGATTTAAACTGGTGCAGTTCCAACTCTCCAGGCTGTTTCCGCCAGAGGCAAGCAGTTCTTTGGCGTGTTTCTCGGACTTAGCTGACAGACAGCAGCATGGCCCCAAATTTTGGGAGTATCCATATTTTTCAACCATCTGCAAGTGCCTGCCTTGCTTGGGGAAGAGGATGAAGGGGCACTGCACTATGTGACCAGAGTTGAGCTGACAGAAATTGAAGATATTAAATCAGGTTACAGAATAGATTTTGATTTTGATGAAAATCCTTACTTTGAAAATAAGGTTCCCTACAAAGAATTTCATCTGAATGAGAGTGGGGATCCATCTTCAAAATCAACTGAAATCCAATGGAAATCCGGAAAGGACTTGACGAAACGGTCCAGTCAGACACAGAACAGAGCCAGCAGGAAGAGGCAGCATGAAGAACCGGGGGGTGGGGGTGGGGGGTGGGGGGTGGTGTTCTTTACCTGGTTTACCGGCCATTCTGATGCCGGCGCAGATGAGTTAGGAGAGGTCGTTAGAGATGATACTTGGCCAAATCCATGATGAAGAAGGTGAAGGGGAAGAAGATGATGAAGAAGGTTTAGAAGATATTGATGGAGATGAAGGGGAAGAAGATGAAGAAGATGACTAACAGAACACTAATGAATTCCAACTTTTAAAATTTTTCTTCAGTCCCTGGGAGCAAGTTGTAATCTTTTTTTGTTTTTGTTTCTTCGTCTTGTGTTCAGTTGCCCTGTTCTTGAAGTCTCTTTTCTCTTCCCTACACCATGGTTCTCAGCTTATTTGGGAGTGGGGGGAATAATGCCTTGTGCAGAATACAGTGGAAAAGAATCTCTACCCCCTTGTGTTCAAATGAATTGTTATCCCTTCTTGTCTCAAGAAAAACTATGGCATCAACACACCACTATGTGGGAAAACAGAAAACCCTCTGCTCCCTTGGCCCTGCTGGCAGCTGGAGAGTGCTGGGCCCCTGTGTAGTAGTGCACAGAATTCCAGCTTCTTTCCTCCTTTCTCTGTAGATTGGGCTCGGAGATCACACCGTGTCTCTATGTGAATATGGACAGTTACCATTTACCAACATATATCTGTCTATTTTCTCTTGTTTTAAAAAAAGGGGGGAAAAAACTTTAAAAAGGGGGGCGGTTATAGAAGGTCATCAAAAGGGTGGATTTGAGATGTTTGGGTGTGTTAAGTGGGCATTTTTGACAACATGGCCTCCCCTTTGGTATGTTTAATTGCAGTTTAAGATGACACTTTTAAAATAAAATTCTCTCCTAATGATCACTTGAGCCCTGTCACTCGATGGGAGAATAAGCAGAACCTGTAGGATCTTCTTTGGAATTGACATTCTCTATGTGTTCCTGTTTATTTTTAAATTTTCTTTTTGTTTCACTGGAAAGGAAAGCTGCTTAGTTTTAAACATTAAAGTGGACAAGTTGCTTTGTTACAATAAAACTAAATGTACACACACACACACACACACAAAGTCATTTCAACTGGTGTAAAGAAAGTATTTCACAAAATCCAACCCTCTGAAGATAGAAGCATATGACAGATCAAGGAGAAATTCCTTAATATGATAATAAGCATTCAGCAAGCACAGCCAAGTAGCAGCAGCATAATAAGGAGCCATGGTGGTGCAGTAATGAAGGGATTAGGCATTAAAAACCAAAATAGTTCAGTGGTTTGGATTCATCAGCCTTCTCTTTCTCCGCTATTAATAGTTCACCTTGCTTTCACTGAATGTTTTATTGTGTGTGTTCTCTTGGGTCTTAGGAAGAATATGAACTTGATGCTTTTAAAAAATTGATTATCTGAATATAGAAATAGACCTTTCATGCAGAGGATTACCTTCCTGTCTGATATGTTTTCTAGTGTTCTGGTCCTGAATAGGTGACAGTCAAATTATAGAGAGATAAATGTAGTGCGTTAGAAATATTGTCCAATCGAACATAAGATGCCAACAGCCTGAAGGTAAATGTAGTTAGTGAAGGGACAACACAGGTGGCCAACGTTTGGAATAGAACAGAGGACATGGTGTGACCTTACTCTGACTTCTCAAATCATCAGAACTGCAGGACTACCTATCCTCTTGGGGGGAGCATGTTATTTAGATTAAATGTGCTAATTTAGATTATATGTGATATTTTAGGACTCACTAGTTTTTGATGATGTGGCTGTGGAGTTTACCCAGGAAGAGTGGGTTTTACTGGATTTTACTCAGAGGAAACTCTATAGAGATGTGATGATGGAAACCTTCAGGAACCTAGCCTCAGGTAAGGATAGCTTTGTTTTTCTTAATTATTTCTGTAATAGATAAATGTAGCAGATCCCCATACACCTTCTTATAGCATTTGGGTTTAGGAATTGGACTGCACTGGGAAACATGACAGCTGTTGGCAGTATCCTCAAGGTAGTCAGTCTTCAGTGACTTCCTCTTGGAAGTAAAACTTTGTGCATTAAATGATCACTGTATCGTGTTTAGAGCCTTGAGGCTCTTTAAGTGTTGTGAGTGACCCTCAGCTTTAGATTCACTTTGTGGCAAAGAGATTTGTGGTTTGAGGCCTCAGCAGCATTTTATCATGTTTATTACGTATTTGATGTGTTACTTTGCTAAAATTAAACTCACCTGTCAATCTCTAGAAAATACAGGGACCAAGATGTTGACTAATAAGCTTTAGGAAAGTGTGCTGTCTTTCCTCATCATCTGGCATTCCCCGTGAATACCATATCACCCACCCTAACTTTTCTCCCTGAGCGCAAAGAAAAGCTCTTTGAGGGTGCAGATGGGATTACCTAGGTCTGGAGTGTCATGGGGACCAAGAAAGTGAGTCCTTTGATGGATCAGCCCCTCTAGAATGGACTTCCATGTGAAGTAATCAACTCGAACTATTCTTTTGCATTGAAGACATGGAACTTGCACTTGTACCTGAGTTATCTTTTGATTTTTCATCAGTCTTTACCTGCCTTCTATAATTGTGGGGGAAAACGCCCCCCACTCTCATATCTCTTTTTAATGTTACCTTTATATACACTAACAATGATTGCACTACCTTTGTATTTTGCTTTTATACTTATATCTTACATATTCTATCCTGGTCACTTTGAATTGTCATGGCATTCTGTCTTTGTCAATTTCTTACATGTTTGACCTTTGCTAAAGTCGTATAATAGTCAAATGTTTCGATCTTTTTTCACATATGCCTTGGTCCTTCTAAAATTTCCCTAATTTTTATCTGGGTGACACTACCTTTAATATTATTGGGTCAGTTTTTAAACAGGATGATAATGGAGAAATGTTGTCCATGAAGAATGACTCCTGGTCCTCTGTGTTAGGAGAAATCTGTGAGGTCCATAATATTGAACAACAAAATAATCAGGAAAGGCACATGAGGTGAGTACCCATCACATAACAGTGAAAAGTGCTGCAGGAGAGCTTTAACGGTATCATATTTCTCTGTAGTGTGTGTGTGTGTGTGTGTGTTTAAAATGAGCCCTGAAGTGGTATAGTTATATAATTTTCCTAACAGTATTTCCAGGAGCCATATTTCACATATCCCTATAATAGAAATATTATGACTGTAATAATTGCACCCACCATGAGTTTATTCTGTGCAACATGAGACAACTTAGGAAAGAAAACACCTTTTAGATAGAGGGTAATTGAGAAGAGATAATGAGTTAAGTTCTAACATGTTTCCTGTTTTAACAGACTATCTTCAGTAGAGAACCTCTGTGAAAGTGAAGATGATGGAGAAGGTAATCACTATGGGAACATTTTCAACTGGATTGGAACTCTTACTAGGCTTAAAAAGACAACTGATGAAGTAAATCCCCTTGAATGCTTTGAATGTGGAAGAGCCTTCATGGACCATTCATCATTTAAGCTTCACATGAGATGTCACACTGTATATAAACCATATCTTTGTAAGGCATCAAAAGAAGACTGCAGCTTTCCTTCTTATCTAAAACCTTATGTGAGAGATGAACATTGTAACCACTGTGAGAAATCTTGTACTTGTTCCCTAAACCACACTAGACATATAAGAGCTCACAGTAGAGATAGGCGTTATGAATGTAAGGAATGTGGGAAAGCTTTTAACTATCTCTCGAGCCTCACTAGACACATAAGAACTCACAATGGAGAGAGGCCTTATGAGTGTAAGGAATGTGGAAAAGCCTTTAGCTATCTCACAAGCCTCACTAGACATATACGATCTCACAGTGGGGAGAAGCTTTTTGAATGTGTAGAATGTGGGAAAACCTATAGTCATTCTTCAAACCTCACTAGACATATAAGAACCCACAGTGGAGAGAGGGCTTATGAATGCAAAGAATGTGGCAAAAGCTTTAGTCTGCCCTCATACCTCACTAGACATTTAAGAACTCACAGTGGAGTGAAGCTGAATGCATGTAAAGAGTGTGGGAAAGCCTTTAGTTGTTCTTCATCCCTTACTACCCACATGCGAACTCACAGTGGGGAGAAGCCGTATGCATGTAAGGAATGTGGGAAAGTCTTCAGTGTGTCCTCACACCTCACTAGACACATCAGAACTCATAGTGGAGAAAGGCCTTACGTGTGCAAAGAATGTGGGAAAGCTTTTATTTGCTCTTCATCCCTCACCACACATATGCGAATTCACAGTGGAGAGAAGCCTTATGAATGTAAGGAATGTGGGAAAGCCTTTAGGTTTTCCTCATCTCTCACCATACATAGAAGATACCACAGTGGAGAGAGGCCTTTTGAGTGTAAGGAATGTGGGAAAGGCTTTTGTCGGGCCTCACACCTCAAGACCCATATAAGAACCCACAGTGAGGAGAGGCCTTATGACTGTAAAGAATGTGGGAAAGCCTTTAAGGAATTGGCTCAACTCACTGGACATATAAGAACTCACAGTGGAGAGAGGCCTTTTGAGTGTAAGAAGTGTGGGAAAGCTTTTAGTCGTTCCTCTTCACTCACTATACATATAAGGACGCACAATGGAGAGAGGCCTTATAAATGTAAGGAATGCAGGAAAGCCTTTATCTGTTCCTCATCTCTCACCACGCATATGCGAACTCACAGTGGAGAGAGGCCTTATGAATGTAATGAATGTGGAAAGACTTTTACTTGTTCATCTTCTCTTACAACACACAGAAGATCTCACAGTGGAGAAAGGCCTTATGAATGTAAGCATTGTGGAAAATCCTTTAGTCGGTCCTCTCACATCACTATGCATATAAGAACACATAGTGGAGAGAGGCCTTATGAATGTAAAGAATGTGGGAAAGCATTTAAGCAATATTCAAAACTTATGAGACATGCAAAAGTTCACAGTGGAGAACAACCTTGTGAAGGTAAAAAATTTGAAAGAGCCTTTAGTTTGTTCACACATCTCACTGACAGTATAAGCTCTCACACTGCAGAGAACCTGCACTGCAGTGAATTACCATTATATGAATCTTCTAGCCATGGTCTGGAAACTCCTAAATAATTATTGCATGAGACTGTGCAGATAAGATGCATGGCACTGTTGTGGGGAACTGTTCAATTTTACCGCCCACTAGGTTTTCAAAAGGCCAATCTCAGATGTGTAGGGTGTCCTCATTAATGTAAAAAAGTCAGGGCAGGAGCAGAGTGCATCCTATGGATGTGAGATCCCTACATTTAGAACCTTCTAACCTTAGGAGGCCTTGTTTAGTAATATAGGAGTGGTGTGATATGCTGGGAGGGACTGAAAGCACTGCAGAGAAATACCCAGCAACAGAACTAGGAGGCTGGTACAAGGCTGCATGGTGGGATGGAGCAAGGTACCCACAGTGGGTGTGTTGGCCAATCAGAGGAGACAACTAAGTACATCCAGGCGAGGTGGCCACTGGTAAAGTGGGTTGCCTCCAATTACTTGTTGGTATAGCTCGGCTTGTCAATCTGCAAGAGCTGAGTGCCTTGGGCAGGAGATTTCCTGGCCCAGTGGGGTGTGCTTTGCACACTCACCAGCATTGTTAAAGAGGTGTATCACTTACCTGAACAGGGCTCAGCAGCAGTAAGATTCTGACTGGTATCCAGGGGCAGGGGCCAAAAAGAAGCTGTTCTGATTAAAGAACTGCATCTGGAGTTGTTCCTACTATTGCCTCCATTTTGACTCTGACCCCGAACCTGAATTTTACCTATAATTTCCCTAATAAACTCCATTAACTGAATATTGCTTGTGAGTTCTGTGTTGTCACTGAAATAAATTGTTGAAATAAATTGTGAAGATACAGAGTGCTGTTACAGGGACAGCTGGAATTGGTAAGACAATTTGTAAAAAGGGTGGAGAGTGGAAGTTTATTTGGCTTGTCCTTTATGGGAACCAACTTTGGGTTAATGTTGATAGGGAATCTGTATCCTCCCTCTACTCTGTTCCTTGGCGTGGCCTACGGACCCAAGTTCTATGTCACCTGAACCCTTGGGTGGCGGAGGAGAGGAGGGTAGCAGTGGAGGAGGAGAAGCAGCAGGATAAACAAGCGCATCGCCAGGGAAAACGCGCATGCGCACGTGCGCGCGCGCACACGCACACATACAATGATATGAAAATGAAAGGACAAAATCTATATAGTCTTGATCCATTAAGGATTGATAAATTGCACTTTGTTAAAAATTTTAAGTTCTGCTTTACAAAATGCATTGTCTAAAGAATTTAAAAAAAAATTATTTTATTGGAGGCTCGTACAATTCTTATCACAATCCACACATACATCCATTGTGTCAAGCACATATGTACATTTGTTGCCCTCATTCTCAAAACATTTGCCTTCTACTTTAGCTCTTAATATCAGCTGTTCATTTTCCCCCTGCCAAAAGAATTTTAAAAGTAAACGGCAGACTGGGAGAAAATAATGGCAAAATGTTAAGGATTTATATTTTTCAAAAATACTAAGAGCAATTAAAACTAAACAATAAGAAAATAAACCATCCGATTAAAAGGTGGGCAATGTATTTGAACAGACATTTCAGCCAATAAGATAAACAGATGTGAGATAAGCATAAAGATGCTCAACATCACTTGGTGTCAGGAAAACAAAGTTAAGATGACAATAAGCTACACACCTATCTGAATGGCTATGATAAAAGCCTGTTGATAAATGACACTTGTGAGAATGTAGGGCAAGAGGAAAACTCATTCATCGATAATGGGATTGCCTAAAAGGACAGATGCTTTGCTCACAGGGTGGCAGTTTCCTTTAAAGCTAAAAATAGTCTTACTACACAATCTAACCATCTTTCTCCTAGATATGAATTGCATTGAGTTGAAATTTGTTTTCACACAAAACTTGCACATAAATATTTTTGGAAGCATTTTTTATAATTGCCCAAGCTAGAAGCAACAAGATATCCATTAGTAGGTAAGTGGATAAATGAATCATGGTACACATGTACAATGGACTGTTACCCAGCAATAAGAAGAATTGAGCGTTGAAAAGACGGAATTGTTGCTATTAGGTGCCCCTGAGTTCCAATTTATAGCGACAGTAGGTACAACAGAACGAAACTGCCCTTTCCGTGCCATTCTCAGTCAGTTTTGTATTTGAACCAACTGCATATCTTGTCAAAGGGCTTCCTCTTTTTCACTGACCCACTTCAACAAAGGAATTGGCTGTACACTTGAGAAGAATTAACTACTGAAGCCTTATGGACAACAGCCGAATATTGGCAGATTTTGAAAACCTAGTGAATAACCGACAGCAGAACACTGTCAGGAGAGGAGCCCTTCAGGTCAGAAAGCACTCAGAGTATGTCTGAGGACGAGCTGTCTTCTCAAAGTTGAGTGGGCCATAATGACATGGGTGGAATTACCTGTGGGGGCTGAAAAGTTTTTAAAAAAACAAAAACAAAACGTCTGTGGAGCTAAAGTCTTGGGATTAGGTTTTAGGTCGTCAGTGTCCAGTAAGTTAGCTATATTGCTGAGATAGTCTCAGGTGGGATACACTCGAGTTTGTATTTTGACTCTGGATTTGTTTTACTTCAATTTCAACCTGAACTTAAAATGAACTTCAACTTACAACCTGAACAATATGCGCAATTGATGGTCCGTTTCAGCCAGCTCCTGGCCTCATTTAGGTTCCTGATATTAAACTTCTCCATCATCTCTTCCCACAGATGTACTCAAGTTTATTCCTGTGGATTCCATCTGCGGGAACTGATGGAACATCCTTAGAAAGGGAGGGGATGATCCACATTTTTTATATGGAAATTTCCCTGCTTGGGGTAGTCCCTACAATAGAACTGCTCATCTCCAAAGAGCGATCTATCCTCGATGGTGTCTCACAAAACATTACAATGTTTACTTTTGACGGGGTCCTGTTTATTTGTTTATTTATTTGTGCTTTAGAGTCATAGCTAGGGACCTCTTGCCAAATCCAGCTAATGAAGATTTACCCCTGTGTGAATTTTAAGGATTTCTAAGTTTTATCTTTTACATTTGACTCTTTGATCAATTTCTATTGAATTTTTGTATAAGCCACGAAGTATTAAAAATGTATTTTAAAAAACACCAAAACCACATCACTACCATTTATGGCTATATGCATCTTAAGTACTTACAATGACATTTTAGGGGGTAGGACAACGTTTGAAAGGTGGTCAGCAGTATTTTATTTGTAAAAGAGCTTGTTTAACTTAAGTTAGCAGCTCCTGGTTCAATGAGTTAGAGAGTGTGGCTGGTTGTTAGGTGCCATGAATTGGTCCCAACCCATAGGGATCCTGTGTACAACAGAATTAAACAATGACAGCCCTTTGTCACACTCACAATTGTTGTTTGAGCCAATTGCTTCGGCCACATTGCCAATGCATCTCCTTGAAGGGCTTCCTCTTTTTCAGCGCCCTTGCACTTTACCAAGTGTGCTGTCCTCTTTCGGGTACTAATCTCCCCAAGAAAAGGCCTCACCATCCTCGCTTCTAAGGGGTCATTCTGCTGTACTCCTTCAAAGGCAGATACGTTTATTCTTTCAGCACTCATTGATACTTTGAATATTCGTTTCCAGCACCGCAGTTCAAATGCATTTGTTCTTTGTTGATCTTTCTTATTCAATGTCCAACTTTCACATGCATATGAGACTACTGAAAATAGCATGGTTTGAGTTAGGTGCACCTTAGTACTCAAAATGACATCTTTGCTCTGCACTACTTTAAAGAGGGCTTGTACAGTGCACTTATGCACTGCAACGCATCATTTAATTTCTTGACGGCTGCCCCCATGGGTACTGATTGTGGATCCAAGCAAAATGAAATCTTTGAAAACTTCAGTCTTTTCTCTGCTTTTATGATGTTACTTATGGGTACAAGTGTGAAGACTTTTATTTCTGTAAGGTGCCATCAGGTCAGTTCTGACCCCATAGCAACCTTATACACAACAGGATGAAACTTTGTTGCTTAGTGATCCCCCAAATTATGTTCAGATTGATTGCCATGTATCTGATAAATGCAACTTAAACACACATCAACACACACAAAATGAAGGAAAAATAAAAGCTCCATAAGATATACTCATTATGAAAAAAGATAAATTGGGAACTTTAGAACTGAATAACGGAATATCTGAAATAAAATTTCAGTGGACAGGCTTAAAAGTAGATTGATCTGATACAGGAAAGAATCAATGAATGTGAAGTCAGTTTCTGTAACAAGGACCAGTGTGAATCCAATCTCCAAAATGTAAGGATTGATATAGTCCTAACATTCCTATTTTTCCATTTTCTCCACCAATGGCTCTCTTCACTCTCTGTCCCCAGTTACCTGGAGCTAGGCAGTGCTCATAAGATAGAAGAACATTGTTCTTCAGACTGTCAAATAGTCAGATACCAGTGACAGTTTGAGGGAGTCTACACAACACCCCGGTTTTCTGGTCTGTTGACTACAAAGTCAGGGTTGGCTATGTCATTGAAAAAGCCAGGCCTCACTGGAGATCCCCTTGCAGAGGGGTCTCGGGGAGGAGATGA